AAAGGTAGAAACCTAGGCAGGGGGGTCAGGGCGCTGGGCCCTCATAGAGGGACACAGGAGTCGTCAGACACAGCCCTCCCCAGTCCATGGGCCTCACTCGGTGGCCTACACGGGTAGGGGTGGGGGCAGTGATGGGGGCTGAGGAGCAAGTCCCCTCTGCTGCCTGAGGATTCCTGAACCCAGAGACACAGAATCCTGCTTGCCAGCTGATGAGTCTCACTCTGCGCTAGTGCTGCTCTAGACTTGTCAGGAACCGTGCTAGCCTCTGGGTCCTAGTGCCCCCCTGCTTCACCTGGGCCAGGGACTAAGGGCTGGGCCTACGCCACAGACCCTCAGCACTCACCTCTTGAGTATACTGTCCTAGGGCTGGGAACAGTCTTGACAGGTCCTCCTAGTCTGTACCCACTCACCATCACTGTTCCCCTGTCCCCCAGGCCTTAGCAGGCCCATAAGCACCAAGTGACACTTCAAAGTGATCAGCTGCCTAGGGCCTCCACACAGCCAAAATAAGGGTCTCTCATCTACCTTTCTGGTGCTCTTCTCTCTCCCTCCCCTCTCTAAACTCTGGACTCAGGGTCCAAATTCATGTGATTAGGGCCTGGATTTCAATCTCAAACTGAGCCAGAGGAGGCAGGACCTGCCCAATAGGCAGCAAGGGAAGGGCAGTAATGGAGGCAACTTCACACACATAGCAAAGCAAGCCAAGTACCCCAGCCCCCTCCTACAAGGCTGGCAAAGGTTGCCACAGTCACTCTTCACCCTTTATGGTTGTTATAAGGGGCCAGGTTGTAAAACCCAAGAATATCAGACTCAACTGCATTACTAAAGGCAGTAGTCAAAAGCAGAGAGCCCTTCTTTCTTCTTGTAGCACAAGGCCCAGTCCACCTCAGCCATCTGCCCCTTGTACTCTTGGCCTTGCCTCCTAGCATCTCAGACCCGATGAAATGGTTTATTTTCTACAATTCTGTATTTCACAAAAATTCTTCAATAACCATGTATTACTTTTACAATTAAAATTGTTTAATTTAATAAGATTATGCATTCTAATGAGAGGTCTCCAAGAGACTATGTAACCATACTGCTTTCATTCACTGGCCCATCTATCATGGGCTAGGAACCAAAAGACCAGGGTCCCTGCCCCTACACAGTCAACAAGGTTGGCCTGGGGTCTGACCTATGGCTCCACTGAGTATGGTATGGATCTAGTTCCCTTGGGCCTAGCGACGCCTGTCTTTTCTGTACTGGGCTTACTTCACTGGCAGAACAGTGACTTCACCCCACTCTACAGACCTAAGATAGGCCAGGTAGCCCAACAGTAGAATGATAGCCAACATTCAGAAATATAGCCCCAAAACACAATTCCGTATCTTCAGTCCTGGCCAGACCCCCTAGGAAATCATCTCTCTCCTCCTTGCAAAATCTCCATGTTTCCCCCTCCTTTCCCTATTCACCATTACACAGGTGGGCAAGGCCAGGCACGTCCTTGCAGCCTGGACCTCACATGTTCGGGGCACTTCACAGTCTACCTTAAAAAAAAGACATTTTATAGAACCATGGTTGAGTACTGGTTCTAGACTCAAGCTACTTTCCTGGCTTTACCACTTGGTAGCTACATAAACTTGGTCTAGTTACTTAACATCTCTATGCCTCAATTTCCTCATCTGCCATGGGGAAGTAACAAAGAACATATTTCAGAGAGGTATCGTGAGGATTAGCTGAGATAATCCATACAAAGCATCCAGAACACCGCCTGGTATTTAATAAGTGCTAAATAAAAGTTAGCTAAGAACAATGTCATCATATATGGACATCAAAATAACCCCACTGAGAGGTTGGCCAGGGATGATGCTGACAAGGCAACTGAGGCTTTGAGAACTGAGCAACTTCCCTGAAGTTACACAGGCTGTGAGGAGTAGAGCCAAAACTGGAAACAACCTGACCCAGAGCCCTCTGTGCTTTCTACTACCCCTCACCATTACCACAAACATCTCTAGGCTTCCAACGCACTGCTCTTCCTGTAGGCCACACTGCCTTCAAAAATTCAAAAGAGCTCAGATCTAAAAATAGCCTTACAACTCACTAACCACATAGGTATCAACAGTCCCCCAACTTCTTGGAATCTGTTTATTTTCCTATGAAATGGAAATAATATCTGCCATATCTACGTCAGTATTATGAGGTTCAAAAAAGCTAAAGCATATACAAGAACCTTGTAGGCCAGGCGTGGTGGCTCATGCCTGTAATCCCAACACTTTGGGAGGCTGAGGCAGGTGGCTCACTTGAGACCAGGAGTTCAAGACCAGCCTGGCTGACATGGCAAAACCCCATCTCTACTAAAAATACAAAAATGGGCTGGGTGTGGTGGCGCATGCCTATAATCCCAGCTACTTGAGAGACTTTAGGCATGAGAATCGCTTGAAGCCGGGAGGTGAAGGTTGCAGTGAGCCAAGATCGCACCACTGCACTCCAGCCAAGGTGACAGACTGAGACTCAAAAACAAAAAAAAAAAAGTGCCTTGTAAAAAGTACAGAAATTATAGAAGTGCAAAGAATTACCTGACATGATACTAAATGGTATATACAGCTACACAATAAATATCGTAAGAAATTATAGAGAGAGGTAAATTAGAAAGAAAGGGGGTACCTAAGCATGCCTTGAATTATGGGGATTTTAGAAAGTATGTGGAAAGGCCTAGAAAGCCCTGTAAGTTATGAACACAGTATGAATAGAGGCAGAAATAACTTGGCTTGACCAGGGAATAGTAAAGAATACTGGCTTAGCTGAAGTAACGAACCCTAGATGAGTTATTCTATCAAACTATAAGGCTTTTGAAGCATAGCCCCCACCTTTTCCTCTTTATGATCCAATAGCCAGTACATAGCTCATGGTCAAATATTTATTGAATAAATAAACATCTTAACATTGCAATGTACTGGGAGGTAACTGTGGGTAGGCAAGAAGTTTAACATCAGGCAAACATAGATGGACTTGATCCAGTAATCACAGGAAGGCAGTCCTGTTCCTGAGCAGGAGACAGCATAGTGAAAACTATTTTAGGAAGATCAAACTGATGACACCTGCAGGATGGAGTGCAGGCAGGAGCAACCTGGCAAAGACAGGAATAACAGCAAGGAGGCTGCTGCAATAGTGAACACAGGGTAAGGAAGGCCTGAACCAGGATCAGGAGAGTGAGAAGAAAGAGGCCAATTCAGAGACAGTACCAAAAAAGCCCTGAGAAGGCCCTGTAATAGATCAAACATGAGGAAAGAGGCAGCAGGCCTACACGGGCTCTGGAGACAGACCTGAATACACCTTTGGTTCTCCTCTGAGCAAGATATTTAACTTCCTGAGCCCTGGTTACCTCAACTGCAAAAAGGAAGAAATAATGTTACCTCACAGGGACATTTTGAAGATTAAATAAGATTTAAATAAAGCATTTAGCACAATGTCTGTGTGCTCAGCAAATGGCAGATAACATCTTCATTCATTATTTTAAGGGACTATCCATGATGACTTGCACACAGTAGGAACTCAAATGCTGCAAGGATAAACGGATGGGTCAATGAATGCATGAATAAGTAAATGAATAAACTCAGGAAGTTTTCAAGCATGAGAAATGTAATAATTGAAATATTAATAGAATTGAAGAAATGGGAGGGGAAACAACATGTTAGGAGAGAGAAAATGCGTCCCATTCTTAGGGCCTTCTCTGGGGAAAACTTAATTGTATACACGAATACATGTACTTCACTATCTCCTTCAAAAACGAACCTGTGATGGTAGCCAAAACAGATTCCATTCTCTCCATTCCACAGATGATAGAACTGTGTCTCAGAAGTCAAATGACTTGCCTAAGTCTCATAGCCAAAAAATGGCAGAGGGACACATCTGAATATCTCTACAGGCAGGTGCTCCTTCCACAGCATTAGCGGGCCCAGGCCCATATCCCATGGGACAATCCTGGGTTAATGTTACCCCAGCCAGGGAGGAGACAGACACCTCTTGGATTTCTAATCCATTTTCCTCTCCAATGATATTAAGTACCACTAAAATAGCTAGAAAAATGGGAAGAGAGGAGGGAAAAATATCTGTGTCTAGTAAATAAACTGCCAATAGTCTTAGAGAAATTTCAGGAAATTACAGGAAAACAAGATTTTGGAGAATTAAAAAGGAGAAAGTGAAGAGGAAAGACTCTTTTCCATCTCTACCATTTCTCCCCTGTCTGAACCATTTCTACCTTGTTTTTACTGGCACCCCAGCATTCTTTGATACCTTGATCTCCTCTTGTCTCACCTTATCAAACCTTGATCCTGGGCTAACCCAACTGTCTGCTTTCCCTGCTTTCCCACTCCTAGAGGAGCTTGTCTGAAACCCAGGCAGTCTGATAGCAAGGCAAAACTATACATCTCTGAAAGCACTAGTAAGGAAGAGATAAGTGTGGACCTAAGTCCTTCAGGAGTCAGAAAGGAAAAGGTCTGCTTATTGAGTGGTAAATGGAGGCTGGGAGACTGGAAGCTTGGAAAGCTGGATTCCAGATATTCACAGGACCCCAGAAGACAATGTGTACAGAGCTTTTTGTTCCTAGGTCCTTCTCAGTATCTGCCTTACAGATTTCATAGATAGGGCCTACACACTCAATGGACTTCCTTCCCTTCTCCAGCTCCTCATTACCCTAAAAAATGTCTACAAACCCACTCCCACTCTGAATGCAGCTCTACTCCATCTCAAAATGTCCCCTTCCCCCAGAAATATCCAGTGACTTCCAGGCCCACCTCCAAGGGCCTCTTGACCTCTTAAGAGTCAAGAAGAAAAGCTACGCTATATGCTTCACTTATCTTCAATATAGGAACTTCTGCAGGAAGGCAAGAGGCACTCAGTCCTGTACTCAAGAACTGCAATGCTCTCAGTGGTATGAGAAGTCCGACTTAGCCTGTTTGAAGTTCCTGCTGATTCCTCCCCCTGAATCAACCAGCAAGTTCCTGGCACTAGGACCCTGTAGACAGGGAACCCTGAGCCTGCGCTCTAAAGAGAGAGATGCACCATTTCACAACTTCAGCAAAAGCCAAAGCAGCCAACAAAGCCACAGCCCCATCGGCTGTACTGGGCTCTGCCTTTTGGGCAGCTCGCCGGCCACTCCCCAAAAGCAGAGCATTCCATCCTTTCTCTTTTTAAACCCACGTCATCATCTGATCATAATGGAAATCAATCTCCTCAAACCACCATGCAAAGGCGTATCCATGGCAACCTCAAAAGGAAGGACACAGAGATGATGCTTCAGTGGCTGCAGCAGGAAAAGGTAAGTCCGTTTCTCTTCCATCCACGCCATCCCATCACTCTCTCCTTTCACTCAAGTCAGGTATACAGCTTATCTACAAACTGTATCTGTCACACAAACTGAGAAAACATATAAGGTGAGTTAATAATCATTATGTTATTATATAAGGCTTTAGATCTGCCTAGTCTCTCTGCCAAGAAAAAATTATCCTTTTCTAGGCAATAGGAACAGGGACAAGGTCTCTCTTCTTATTCACCTCTCAGGTGACACAATCTCAGTCCACAATTCCTGACAAATCACTATCGGTCACTTGTCTTTCTAGTCAGGATGCTGGAAAATCACTCAAGAATATCCAAGTTTCCCTATGTAGTTGTCAAAAGCTGACAGTAACACTGATCCCACTGTCCTGCCCCCTCCATGCCACTGTCCTGCCCCCTCCATGCCACCAGCATGCCCACAAACTGGCATGGTAAGATTCCCTCCTTAGCAACCGTAGACTCTAGGTTCTCAAGGTCCAGAAACGGAGTTGGGATTAAATTTCTGCCTTCTCTGATGCCTCAAGAGAAGGAATTCATTTCTGCAGAGGTAAGAGATTCATCAAATACAAGTGCTACTAATCCTCCATGCCTCAATTTCCTCTTCTGGAAGAAAGGGATAATAACAGTAACTTTCTAACAGGATTGTTGTAAAATCACATGAGAATGCCTGAAAAGCACTTAGAACAGTGCCTCATATAAAGCACTCAATAAATGTCAGCCATTATTATTATGAGAAAGATGAAGGGGAGGCTTATAGCGTAGGATTTCAGTTCAGAGGGTACTCAACACTCCTGGAGCTTATTTCAATTCCACTGTCTTCCTCTTTCCTCTTAACAGTTGTTTCAAGCTTCCTTCACCATTTTTACCATTTTCAATCCTTACTCCCACCCAAGCCAACACCAGCATCCCCACCTCTCAGCAGATAACCTTGCTGAAAAAGAAAATTGGCCCTATTAGGTAAGAAGTTCTTTGCAAATTTAGATACATCTACATGCATATGTCATTATCTCTTTCTTCCTAAATTCCTTCCTTTCTTCCAACATTCCTCTTTAAAGAAAATGGTATCCCCTTCTTTTCAGGGCCCACCCTTTTCCCTCTCCTCTGAGGACCTGATTTAGCAATCGTCCTTTCTCTTGTGTCTTCATTGCACCCTCTCTACTGGATCTTACATGGCATCAGAAAAGCCATAAACAAGATTCTTCCATTCTAGAAAAAACTAGTCCCTGCTACCTCCTCCACAAGCTGCCACCATTCTGTATTCTTCCTTTCTCTGCTGAACTACTCAAAGTGAGTACACATTCTCTATCTTCACTTCCCATCTACTTCTTGATCCATTGCTATCTGGCTCCATCCCTACCACTCACTGAAGCTGCTCACAATTTAAATGAGCCCTGGTGACCACAATATTCTATACAACCTCAAGGTGCATTTCCCAAGCTCATCCTAACTTGACCTCCCTGTAGCAACTGAGATTGTCAATCCTTTTCAGGAATTTTCTCCTTTCCTAGCTTCCTGGACAACACTCTCTCTTACCCTAGCATGTCAATCATACTCATCTTCTCTGTCATTATTTTCAGCCTTCTATAAGCATGGCTGGGAGAGCTCATCCATTCCTACAACTTCAACTACCACTCATACTTACTGCCCCTAGACAGAAATTCTTCTGAACTTCAGACTCATATCTCACCCTGTCTGCTAACTGCCACAGAGCCCTCAAGTTCAATACGACCCAAAACACACTTGGTATCTCTCTCACTTAAAAAAAAAAAAAAAAGGCTCCTCCTCTATATTCCCTCTTTGCTATTGGCACTACCATCCACTCAAAATAGAAAACTGAGTCATTTGCAAAAACTCCCTCTCTTGTTCTCAACAACCAATTTAGTCATTATGTCTGGTTAATTCTGTTTCTCCAGTCTCTCTCAGATTCATCCTGCCCTCTCTGTCCCCACTGACCTAATCCTTAATCAGCCCTAAACCATGTCCATGATATTACAAGAGTCTCCCGATGTCCCTGAACCAGGTTCTTCCCCTTCAGTCTATTTCCACATTTAGCTTCCCAAAATACCATCACATCATCTTCCTGCCTAAAAGCCTCCGGTGGTTTCTCTGCCCACAAAATGAAATATTTTTAGCACTGCACTACAGGCCATTAACAACCTGGCCTTGACCAAGCACAGTGGCTACACCTGTAATCCTAGCACTTTCAGAGGCCAAGGTGGGAAGATCACTTGAGGCCAGGAGTTTGAGACCAGCCTGGCCAACATGGTGAAGCCCTGTTTCTACTAAAAATACAAAAATTAGCTGGGCATGGTGGTGCATGCCTATAGTTCCAGTTACTCAGGAGGCTGAGTAGTCCCAGGTGGAGTAGCTATAGTCCCAGATACTCAGGAGGTTGCAGTGAGCCAAAATCGCACCACCACACTCCAGTCCGGGTGACAGAGTGAGACTCTATCTCAAAAAAAAAAAAAAAACTGGCCTCAAACTCTCAAACTGGCACAGCAGCCTGCAGACCCACCTATACTCAGGAGGCTGAGGGGGATCACTTGAGGCCAGGAATTCCAGGCTGTAGTGCCTGATGATCTTGCTTGTGAATAGCCACTGTACTCCAGCCTGGGCAGCATAGCGATACCCCATCTCTAAACAACAAAACAAAATACAACAACGTGGCTTCATTATGAATCCGGTCGCATCAATCACCAAAGTTCTCTTTTATTCCAGCCACTTGCATCTATCTGCCTTTCCCTTTATGCATCTGCAAATGTTACAAATATCACCAGGACCATTCTTCCTCCTCATCCTTCAAGGCTCAGCCCAATTCTCACCTCTTTCCTAAAGACTCTTCTGGCTTTTCCATGTAAAGCTAATCATTCCCTCCTCTGCCCTCACAGAGCACTTGGGACATATCTCTATTTCAATACCACATTCTATTTAAAATATCGTCTCTTATTCTACTATGAATTCCTCCAGGACAGAGGATTGTATCCATCTCAGTATCTAAGCACTCAACATAGGGCTTTGCACAGAGAAGGCATTCAATGTTGAATAGACACCTGTACCAACATCACACTCAGGATATAAATTGTCTGACAGCTTTCCCGGAGAGCAGATCCATCCCTGAAGCCCACCACCACTGGGGAAATCAATACTCAAGTGCACATACACATGCACACATACATCTCTCCCCCAACCCTCAGTAAACATGGCTCTTTCCACTCCAGATAGGAGCCTAAGAAATAAAAGTGCAGGAACAGCCCTAGATTCTATGGAATTTGGTAGTGATACTAAATCTCAATCTCGTATACTTCCAGGGTATACGAGAGAATAACAGAGACGGCTCTAGGTGAGGTGCAGATCCCCTGGGAAACAGCATTAGGGAGGATTTGGGGGCAGCAAGGGCCCATGCTCTGCTGTAGTGAAGCCCTTGGGGAGGCCAGACTAAACAGCTAACCTGTCCCTTGACAACATTCAACTAATATCAGCCTGAATCTCAAAAGCGAAATGATACAAAGCCAAAGTCAGAGACTCCAGGATGACAAGGACCTTAATATAGATATGAATCCGGCAATATTTCAGCTCTTACCTCTTCAGGGGACACTGAGGACCAAGTTCCTATTTTACTTGGTATGGGACGGATAGTCCAAGTGCCCCCAGTATCACCTAGTAGCTGTAGACAGGCCAAGCAACCTGGGAATCATCTAGAATCCCTCTCAACCTGTAACTCCAAGCAGCTGCTAGCAATGATAGAGCTGGCAGAGTAAAACCTAGAGTGGCAGTTGTCAATGGCATTATGATTCACCCAACTACTTTGACTCTTCCCTAACAATTTCTTCTCCTTTGTACCCTCATGGTCAGTCAGGCCCCACTTATCAATTCGTCCTTAGTACTGCCTCCTGCATCTTTCCTTTCTCCTCCACTATCACTATCATTACTTCAGTCTGCCATGTAACAGCTTTGAAAATCAAGGCAAATCATTTACCCTCTTTGGTGCATCATCTACAAAACAGCATAACAGCTGCTCTGCCTACCTCGTAGGAATATTAGATCAAATGAGATCATGCCTGTGAAAAGTTCTGTAAAGTGTCATACATAAATACAAGGCATTATTATTATCAACCTAAATTCTCTAACATTGCTATGCGAAGCCTATCCAGCTCCCTCTTCCCCCTCCTTCCCTAGTTCCAACCACCTTATACATCACAGTAAAGCAAATACATCTGCTAAAACACTGCTTTGTCCCTACACCCATCTGCCTGACATCTCTCATTGATAATCTCATTTCTTGCTATAATCAAACAATCCTGGATTCAACAGATGCAATCCCATCTCTGCACCACTGTCAGCTGCTTAAGATACTTTTCTAGTCTTGCAAGCCACACCCATCCTTCAAAGTCCAGCCAAAGCCCCACTACACTCCACACATAACAAAGACAAATTTAAGAAAGGGATTTCTTAAACATAATGGAAGAATTAAACACAATTCCACTTAGAAAAATCATAGTAGGCACAGCTGTCATCTAATACTTGGAGTCAACTTTTTAGGAAGACGGGTGACACTTTTTTTCTGTTTGATTAAGAGATAATCTAGGACCAACAGCATGGAAGTTGCAGAGATGTATTTCAGGAACATGAAGAACTTCTTTCTTGAGCTATTCCAAGAATAAAATGGGATGCCTTATTTGTAGACAATTCCCCATTATTTTAAATGTTCAAGCCAAACTGCAAAATTTACCAAATTGGCAAGAATATTTTAGATAGAATTCAACACTACAGGGATAATTAGACTAGACTCACAGAATTTTAAATCTGAAAGAAATATTTGAGATCTTGTAGTCCAGACTCCTATCTTACAGGCCTGGACAGACAAAGTGAATCTCTCAAGGCAGCACACTCTGTTCTGGAAAACATGGTCTCTAACTTTCAATCCAGTGATCTACACTTTTGCTACTCAGATTATGTTCCATGGGCCAGCAGCATTAGCCTCACCTGGGAACTTGTTAGAAATGCAGAACCAATCATAACCTGTGCTGTAACGAGATCCCATTACACGTGCACACCATTAAAACTCAAAACGCACTTACCCATACTGCCCCTTCTAAACCCTGAATTTCTATTTCTGGAACTCCAATTCCCAAACGGTTCCACATGTTAACCAGGGGAATCACCCAAGAATAACAGTATACCCTAGTAAAATTTGGGAAATTCTGCATACCATACCCCCAGCTGGAGATTCATGGTAAATATTATTAGCATATTAAAGGCTCTGCAATATTCTGTAGTAAAGTTTAACCACGAATTTTCCAACAGCTTTTGAAAACAAAATGCCTTTTTAAAATAAAGTTATCGTTATCTCTTTTAACATCTCATAGCTTAGGCTTTGGCAGTACATTAAGTAAAGGATGTCAATCTCTACCTCCTAGCTTTTCGCCTCTCAGTACCTTAAGTATACCCGAGTAGCCAGTGATCAATATGGGTTTGCTGCTCTCCTCACTGCAATAAATGAGGGTAACTTTTCAAATCCCTGCCTCTAAAAACAGCAGAGATCCTTATCTGTGTGATTTAGCTGTGGTTCTGTCTAAAGATAAGGGATGCGCAAGATGACTTCAAGGATCATCTTGCCAGCTAAGGCGGACCCCAGCAGTAGGATCACACATACAAACCACATCCAGACTCCCATGCTGTGAGTCCTTTAAGATTTTTCTCCCCGTTTGACACGAATTTCTCCACCATGTGCCCACAGGAAACCTGTAGCTCAGTATGGATTCAGGGGCGCCTCGGACGCTCGCAGGAACGGAAGGGAGACCCTTGCAGTTCTGGAGGAACTCTAAGGCGCAGTCACTCTGATCCCAAGAGAACCCTGCTAGGCTGAAGAGCTGAGGTGGGTCAGACGGGCCTCGGGGCAAACGCTCAGGCGGAGCCCCCAGACCCCGGCAAGCGCCCACCCCTGATCCAGCCCATCCCTGCCAGTCCCCGCCCCGCACACCGGGCTCAGTGTCTTGCCCTAGGCCAGCACCAAATCCCCAGCCCACCGCCGGCAACCTCACGAATACGTAGGGGGCCGGCGGAGCAGACGGTTGGCAGGGTCGCGCCTCCGTACCTGCACTGTCAGGGGCTCCGCGCCCAGCTCCGGCCCCACAGACGACCGACGCCCAAGACCCTGCGGGGCCGGCCCCGTCCTCCCCGCCCTCGTGGGCTGCCCGACTCGCCGCCAGACCCTTCCAGGACCGCCCAGAACCCTTCGGCCTGGAGGCCCAGAGGCGTTCTGTATCCAGTGAACGCTCTTTTCCCGCAGTCCCGCCCTGACTGAAAACTGCGCGCCGACCGCAGCCGGGATTACATCAATCAGGCACAAAGCTGGACACCTGGGACAGGCTAAGCGCACGCGCACTGTGCCTGGGAAGCCGATTAGGACCATAAGAAATCGGCGTGTCGTAGCGAGCGCCCCCTCTCGGCGGAGGGGAGAAAGCGCAGAGGGTCTGGAGGACTCAATTCCAAGTGTTAAACTGCTAATTAAAACAATAGCGATAAACCGTATCTCCTCCATTAGCCTGGGGGAGAAAATTAAGTTTTGCTGCTCCTCAGTGTCACCTGTCATATGGGGATACAGGCATTCTCATGCGCTTATGATGGGAATGTAAAATACAAATTTACATAATGGCATTTAAAAATTTTAGACATAGGTTCAAATTCTTTTTTTTCTAAGACAGGTCTCCCTCTGTTGCCTAGAGAGGAGTGCGGTGGCACGCACAATCATGGCTCATTGCAGCCTTGACTTCTCAGGCTCAGGCGATCCTCCCACCTCTCAGCCTCCCTAGTAGCTGGGTCTACAGGCGCGCGCCACCATGCCCTTTTAGTTTTCTTTTTTCTTTTTTTCTTTCTTTTTTTTTTGGAAAGACGGAGTTTCACAATGTTGCCCAGGCTGGTCTCGAACCCCTGGGCTCAAGCGATCCAACCGCTTCGGCCTCCCAAAGTGCTGGAATTACAGACATGAGCCACCACACCCGCCTGGGCTCAAATTCTAACAGCAATTTACTAGCTGTGTGAGAGCTAGAGTTAGTTATTTACCCTCTCTGTGCCTCTGTTTTCTTATTTGTTAAAGTGAGAATGTTAATGATGGTACCTATCTCATTATGTTGTTAGAAGAATTAAGTTAATCCATGTGAAGAGCCGGAAATATAACTATTGTAATGTTATATTTATTTCAGTTAATCTCAGATTTGAAACCAACTAAAACATTCATAAAGCTGATGTGGGGAGCAGTAAGCAGTAGAAGGGATGAATTGAGTATTCCCTTTATTACTCCCCCCTTTTCCCTATTTCACCTTCTAAATATTTATAACTGTTATTTTGATTAGATACTACGTTTACATAGTTCAAAAATCAGAACACTATTTTAGAATATAAACAGAGAAACCTCCCTTCAACCCTGGTTCCCATCGACTCCATCCCCCTTGCCTGCTACAGGTAACGCTTGTTATTAGTGTCTTCTTGTTTATCTTTTCAGTGTTTTGTGCAAACATAAGCTCATATGAATATATAGTCTTACTTCTCCCATTTCTTATGCCAAATGTAGCATGCTAGATACACTTGGCATAAGTTCTCTTCACTTAATCTATCCTGAAAATCTTTCTAAATCAATAAGTTAGAGATCTTCCTCATTTGTTTTTCAGTTGCTTAGTACTCTATTGCATGGATACACATAATTTATTAACCAGTTTCTTCTAGTTACATACTTTATTTCCAGTCTTTTAGTATTACAATGTTGCAGTGAATCACTTTGAACATAATGACATTCCATATGTGAGCAGGCATATCTGTAGGATACATCTTGGTCAAATAATAAATGCATCTATAATTTTAGTAGAAATGTCTTCCATCTCCTTCAATTAAAGAAAAATGAATATAAAAGTAAATATAAAGACTTTAAAAGATACTGCATATACATATTTTTAATTGTGGTAAAGCATACATAACATGAAATTTACCATTTTAACCATGTTTAAGTTCAGAGGCACTCAGAACATTCACATTGTTGTGCAATCATCACCACTATCCATCTCCAGAACTTTTTCAGCTTTCCGTACCCAAAACAAACAAGTAAGCAAACAAAACCCTCTGTGCCCATTAAACACTAGCTCACCATTCTCCACCTACCCCAGCCCCTGGTAATCACTATCCTACTTTCTGTCTCTATGTATTTGATTATTCTAGATACCTCATACAAGTGGAACCATGTAATATGTGTCCTTTTGTGTCTGGCTTATTTCACTTAGCATAATGTCTTCAAGGTTCATCCATGTTGTAGCATGGCCAAAATATATTCCATTATATGGATATGCTATATTTTATTTTATCTATTCTTTCATCAATGGACATTTGGGTTATTTCTGCCAGTCAAAAGATAAAACTTCAACAAATTGGATTTAAAGATCTCATTGGCTTTCATTAGTAATTCAAGAATTTAGCAGCAACCCAACTAAAGATTTAGACAGGAATACCATTAGGCATGGCAGGACAGTTGAATTTCATAAAGTAACTTAAGTAGAAACAAGGAAACAGCCTAATTTTTATCTGTATTTATTTATTTATATTGAGATAGGGTCTCGCTCTGTCACCCAGGCTGGAGTGCAGTGGTGTAATCACCACTCACTGCAGTCTCAACCTCCTGGGCTCAATCAGTCCTCCCACCTCAGCCTCCTGAGTAGCTAGGACTATAGGCACATAACACCATGCCTGGCTAATTTTGTATTTTTTGTAGAGACAAGGTTTTGCCATGTTGCTCAGGCTACTCTCAAACTCCTGGGCTCAAGTGATCTTCCCATCTCAGCCTCTCAAAGTACTGGAATTGCAGGCATAAGCCACCATACCTGGCCAGCATAACATTTTAAAAATCAGATTGGTTAACACCAGGCTACTTCAGGTTATTTTCCTTATAAGGGTTAAAGCAGAAGGGATTTCCTTATCATCCTGGTTAAAAACTGGCCTATGTGGGGATTTGGCTATCATCTCTCTTCTGATTTCTCAGAAAATCAGATAAACAATTTAACTTTGGTTTGGTGACATGGAACTTTAGTTGAGTAACTCCATTTCCATTTGGTCTGTTGGAGTCTAGTGCAGGAGCTCAGTCCAAATCAATGGAGTCCCGTCAATTTTACTTAACACACCTTTTAGCCATTGCAAATATGTGTGCACATATTTTTTAGAAACAAGTGCATTTCTCACTTATTCCATACCCAAGATTCCTACCCAAATCAACTCTTGATGCCAGTTTTTTATGTGCTGTTTCAGAATTAGGCTCTGAACACAAGCATTTTAAATGCAAATTGCAGCTTCCTATACACATTGTTCTGAATTTTGCTTTTATCCCCATTGGACAATGATATGGTTTGGCTCTGTGTCACCACCCAAATCTCACCTTGAATTGTAATCCCCATAACCCCCATGTGTGAAGGGTGGGACAAGGTAGAAGAGATTGGATCATGGAAGCAGTTTTCCCCATGCTGTTCTCGTGATAGTGAGTGAGTTTTCACAAGATCTCATGGTTTTATAAGCGTCTGGCATTTCTCCTGCTTGCACTCACTCCACCCTGCCACCCTGTGAAGAAGGCGCCTGCTTCTCTTTTGCCTTCTGCCATGATTGTAAGTTTCCTGAGGCCTTCCCCACAATGTGGAACTGTGAGTCAATTAAACCTCTCTTCTTTATAAATTACCCATTGTATTAGTCTGTTCTCACACTGCTAATAAAGACATACCCAAGACTGGGTAATTTATAAAGGAAACAGGCTTAATGGACTCACACTTCCTCATGGCTGGGGAGGCCTCACGATTGTGGTGGAAGGTGAAGGAAGATCAAAGTCATGTCTTACATGGCAGCAGGCAAGACAGGGTGTGTAGGAGAACTTCCCTTTATAAAACCATCAGATCAGGCTGTACATGGTGGCTCACACCTGCAATCCCAGCACTTTGGGAAGCCGAGGCGGGCGGACACAAGGTCAAGAAATCGATACCATCCTAGCTAACATGGTGAAACCATGTCTCTACTAAACAAAACAAAACAAAACAAAACAAAAATTAGCTGAGCGTGGTGGTGCGCACCTCTAGTCCTAGCTACTCAGGAGGCTGAGACAGGAGAATCACTTGAACCTGGGAAGCGGAGGTTGCAGTGAGCCAAGATCGTGCCACTGCACTCCAGCCTGGCAACAGAGAGAGACTCCATCTCAAAAAAAAAAAAAACAAATATCAGATCTCATGAGACTTATTCACTATCATGAGAAGAGCATGAAAAAGACCTGCCCCCATGATTCAATTACCTCACACTGGGTCCCTCCCATGACACATGGGAATTATGGGAGCTACAATTCAAGATGAGATTTGGGTGGGGACACAGCCAAACCATACCATTCCACTCTTGGCCCCTCCCACATCTCATGTTCTCACATTTCAAAACCAATCATGCCTTCCCAACAGTCCCCCAAAGTCTTAACTCATTTCGGCATTAACTCAAAAACTCCACAGTCCAAAGTCTCATCTGAGACAAGGCAAGTTCCTTCCACCTATGAACCTGTAAAATCAAAAGCAAGTTAGTTAACTTCCTAGATACAATGCGGGTACAAGCATTGGATAAATACATCCATTCCAAATGGGAGAAATTGGACAAAACGAAGGGACTACAGGCCCCATGCAAGTACAAAATCCAGTGGAGCAGTCAAATTTTAAAGCTGCAAAATGATCTCCTTCGACTTCATGTCTCACATCCAGGACATGCTGATGCAAGAGAGGTGCACCCATTACCTTGGATAGCTCTTCACCTGTGACTTTGCAGGGTACTGCCCCTCCCGGCTGTTTTCACAGGCTGGCGTTGAGTGTCTGTGGCTTTGCCAGACACATGGTGCAAGCTGTTGGTGGATCTATGATTCTGGAGTCTGGAGGATGGTGGCCCTCTTCTCACACCTCCACTAGGCAGTGCCCCAGTGGGGAGTCTGTGTGGGAGCTCCAATCCCATATTTTCCTTCTGCACTGCCCTAGTAGAGGTTCTCCATGAGGGTCCCACTCCTGCAGCAAACTTCTGCCTGGACATTCAGGTATTTCCACATATCCTCTGAAATCTAGGTAGAGGTTCCCAAACCTCAATTATTGATCTCTGTGTACCTGCAGGCTCAATACCACATGGAAGCTGCTGAGGCTTGGGGCTTCCACCCTCTGAAGCAATGGGCTAACCTGTACCTTGGCCCCTTTTAGTCACAGCTGGAGAGGCTGGAACTCAGGACACCAAGTCCTCAGGCTGCCCACAGCAGGGGGGCTCTGGGCCCAGCCCATGAAACCATTTTTATCTCCTCAGCTTCCTGGCCTATGATGGGAGGGGCTGCCCGTGAAGGTCTCTGACATGCCCTGGAGACATTTTCCCCATTGTCTTGTTGATTAACTTTTGGTTCCTCATTACTTATACAAACTTCTCCAGCTGGCTTGAATTTCTCCTCTGCTTCTTTTTTAAGTATAAGTTCCAATTCTAAATCATATATTTGTGAATATATAAAACTGAATGCTTTAACAGCACCCAGGTCACCTCTTGAACTCTTTGCTGCTTAGAAACTTCTTCCACAAGATGCCCTAAATCATCTCTCTCAAGTTCAAAGTTCCACAGACTCTAGGGTAGGGCATAATGTCACCAGTCTCTTTGCACAGCAAGAGTGATCTTTACTCCAGTTCCCAGAAAGTTCCTCATCTCCATCTGAGACCACCTCAGCCTGGACTTTATTGTCCATATCACTATCAGCATTTTGGTCAAAGCCATTGAACGAGTCTCTAGGAAGTTTCAAACTTTCCCACATCTTCCTGTCTTCTGGACTCTCCAGGTTTCTAGGAAGTTCCAAACTTTCCCACACTTTCCTGTCTTCTTCTGAGCCCTCCAAACTGTTCCAACCTCTGCCTGTTACCTAGTTCCAAAGTCACTTCCACATTTTCAAGTATCTTTACAGAAGTGCCCTACTACCCAGTACCAATTTACTGTATTAGTCTGTTCTAACACTGCTAATAAAGACATACGTAAGTCTGGGTAATTTATAAAGGAAAGAGGTTAATTGACTCACAGTTCCACATGGCTGGGGAGACCTCACAATCATGGCAGAAGGTGAAGGAAGAACAAAGTCACATCTTACATAGTGGCAGGCAAGAGAGGGTGTGTAGGGGAATTGCCCTTTATAAAACCATCAGTTCTCATGAGACTTATTCACTTTCAGGAGAAGAGCATGGAAAAGACCTGGCCCCATGATTCAATTACCTCCCACTGGGTCCTTCCCATGACATGTGGGAATTATGGGAGCTACAATTCAGGATGAGATTTCGGTGGAGACACAGTCAAACAATGATATGGTTTCAGGTATTTCTTCATAGCAGTGTGAGAACGGACTAATACAGACAATATATCTTAGAAGTTGTCCATATTAGTACATACTGAGCTGCCACGAAATAAAATACAGTTGGCCCTCTGTATTTGTGAGTTCAACCATCCTTGGATTGAAAATATTAGGGGAAAAATGGATGGTTGTGTCCATAGTGAACATGTACAGACTTTTGTCCTTGTCATTATTCCCTAAACAATACAGTATAACAAGTATTTACATTGTATTAGGTTTCATACATAACCTGAGATTATTTAAAGAAACAGTTCCCAACCTCTTTGGCACCAGGGACCTGTTTTGTAGGAAGCAATTTTTCCACAGACTGGGTTGGGCAAATGGTTTTGGGATGATTCAAGTGCATTACGTTTATTGAATACTTGATTTCTATTATTATTACATTGTAATGTATAATGAAATAATTATACAACTCAGCATAATGTAGAATCAGTGGGAGCCCTAAGCTTGTTTTCCTGCAACAAGACAGTCCCATCTGGGGGTGATGGGAAACAGTGACAGATCATCAGGCATTAGAGTCTGATAAAGAATAAGCAACCTAGATCCCTTCCATGTGCGGTAGGGTTAGTGCTCCTATAAGAAACTAATGCTGATGATGATCTGACCAAAAAAACTAAAGTATACGATAGAATGTGTGTAGGTTATATATAAATACTACGCCATTCCATGGATTTTGGTATCCAAGGGGTGTCCTGGAACCAATCCCCCATGGACACAGAGTGACTACTATATGTATCTCCTGAGTGACTTTAACATTTAACCTGTGTGCTGAGTCTTTACTTGACACCAGGAGTTCAAGACCAGTCTGACCAACATGGTGAAACCCCATCTCTATTAAAAATACAAAAAAAGTTAGCTGGGCATGGTGGTGCACACCTGTAATCTTAGCTATTTGGGAGGCTAAGGCAGGAGAATCGCTTGAGCCTGGGAGGCAGAAGTTGCACAGTGAGCGAACATTGTGCCACTGCACTCCAGCCTGGGTGACAGAGTGAGACTGTCAAAAAACAAACAAACAGGCCGGGCGCGGTGGCTCAAGCCTGTAATCCCAGCACTTTGGGAGGCCGAGACGGGCGGATCACGAGGTCAGGAGATCGAGACCATCCTGGCTGACACGGTGAAACCCCGTCTCTACTAAAAAATACAAAAAACTAGCCGGGCGAGGTGGCGGGCGCCTGTAGTCCCAGCTACTCAGGAGGCTGAGGCAGGAGAATGGCATGAACCCAGGAGGCAGAGCTTGCAGTGAGCTGAGATCTGGCCACTGCACTCCAGCCTGGGCGGCAGAGCGAGACTCCGTCTCAAAAACAAAACAAACAAACAAACAAACAAACAAAAAAACCCTATGTATTGAGTTTTTTATATAAAGCTGCCAGGTCTCAGTTGGGATAGGGTGGTGATTCAGGAAAGACCCAAATGTTTCTCAGCATCATGAAAGAGATCCTACTGAATCATAAGGACAGGATGTGCTAATAGGAGAAATATTGAATTTTTTTTTATATTTGATTAGGCTGAGTGGTCTTCAAGGAAAATTAATATTTTCTTTGTCCTGTGTTTTTCTTTATAGGTGCTGTTGTAAGAGACCCAGCCTGCCTTTGGCTTCCTCCAACGGGGAACCTGAACAAGGACCCCCAAACTCCTACTCACATAGCTAGAGCCCTTTCCCCCAACCTGTGATGCTGAACAGAGAAGAACATCTGTGCTCACCTGGGTGGAATCCTAGGCATTATAGAATGTGGGGAAGAAACCAGGGGAGAATCCTCCCCCTGAGGAAAGGGATGCTGTTTTCCAAGAGAAGGTGGGTTTTCAAACTGAAAGGCTTGGAGAGGGGAATCAATAGAGAGCAAATCAAAGGTGACGAAGCCATACGGAGGACATGTGTGGGAGAGAGAAGCATCTAGATTAGCTATACCAGCACTGCCCAATAGGCATAAATGTAAATTTTAAAATTGTTTTTGGTTGGGAAATAGGTTAATAAATTTTAAAGAAAATTTCTGGAGAAAACTTAATTATTTTAAGACAGGGTCTTGCTTTGCCACCCAAGCTAGAGTGCAGTGGCGCTTTCATGGCTCACTGCAGCCTCAACCTCCCTGGCTCAAGTGATCCTCCTACATCAGCCTCTGGAATAGCTGAGAGACCAAAGGCCACCATGTCTGGCTATATTTTAAACTTTTTTGGAAAGACAGAGTCTCACTATGTTATCCAGACTGATCTTGAACGCTTGAGCTCAAATGATCCTCCTGCCTTGGCCTTCCAAAGTGCTGAGATTACATGTGCCAGCAAAATAAAATTTTATATAAGCCAGCCACACATATAATTTAAAATTTTTTAGTAGTGACAATTTGTAAAAGTTAAAAAAAAAGTTGAAATTAATTTTTTTTGTTTCTTTTTTGAGACAGGGTCGTGTTCTGTTGCCCAGGCTGGGGTCCAATGGCACGATCTCAGCTCACTGCAACCTCCACCCCCCAGGCTCAAGTGATCCTCCCACCTCAGCTTCCTAAGTAGCTGGGACTGCAGGCACATGCCACCATGCCTGGCCAATTTTTGTGCTTTTTGTAGAGATGGGTTTTTGCCATGTTGCCCAGCCTGGTGAAATTAATTTTAACAACATATTTTATTTTACCCAGAATATTCAAAATATTATCATTTCAACATGTAATCAATACAAAAATGAGGCATTTTACATTCTCTTTTTTTGTACTGTCTTTAGAATGCAATCTTTATTTTGCATTTGTAGTACATCTTGCTAAGTTTTCATGGGACATTGTTGATCTGGTTTAGATTGCATAAAATTTACAATTGAAAAAGTAGATTTTTTTATTTATTCATTCATTAATTTCAGAGATAAGGTCTTTCTATGTTGGACAGACTGGTCTTGCATTCCTGGCCTCAAATGATCCTCTTGCCTCCGCCTCTCAAAGCTGAGATTACAGGCCTGAGCCACCAGGCTCAGCCTAAAAATGTAGATGCAGGTATGCAACTTATTTCAAACATTTTAATATATTTTCCAATAACTGAGCTGAATATTTAAATGTATATATTTTTAAACATAAAATTAATTAAAAATAAATAAAAATTAAAATTCCATTTCTCAGTTACATTAGCCATATTTCAGGTACTCAATTGCCACATGTGGCCAAGGGCTACCATATTGGTCAGTACGGAGATAACGCTTTAGTCCTTCTTCTCCCCACTTTGTTACACTTTTATGAGAGGGTCTGGCCCTTCAGGAAAGGACCACAGGTGTGTTCATTGCCTGGTTTGTTACAACATACAGGTAGAGTATGAGGAGACAAGTTGGCTTAGGGAGAGCCTGACCTACTGTACCCCGTTTCCTTCTGAGGGGGGTAGGGAACAGCAAGAGGGTGGTCCACTCGGGGTACCTTGAAAACTGTGTGGTACAAAGAATCCACAATGTAGGATAACCCAGAACAACCATAAAAGTACAATGGGGACCTAGGACCATGCAACTTTAAAAAGTAAAAGAATTTTCAAAAGTAAAAAGAAACAAGTGAATCACCATAGAAATCATAAAGAAAATAATCTACAGATGAAGGCTTTTTGTTAAAACAAATACAGATCCTTGAAAAGAAGGCAAGATCTCATTAGGTTCTCTAAAATCAGGAATACAAAGATGCCGAATATCTCTGAGTCTGATCAACACTGTATTTGAAGGACTGCATCGAGACAAGAAAAACACATATAAAAGACATAAAGATTATAAAGAAGGAAATTAAGCTGTCATTTTTCACAAATGATATGATGACTTACATGGAAAATGCCAAAATAGGCCGGGTGCAGTGGCTCATGCTAGTAATCCCAGCACTTTGGGAGGTCAAGGTGGGTGGATCACTTGAGGTCAGCAGTTTGAGACCAGTCTGGCCAACATGGTGAAACCCCGTCATGACTAAAAATAAAAAAATTAGCTGGGCATGCTAGCACGTACCTGTAATCCCAACTACTTGGGAGGCAGAGGCAGGAGAATTGCTTGAACCTGGGAGGGAGGCAGAGGTTGCAGTGAGCCGAGACTGCACCATTGCACACCAGCCTGGGCAAAGAAGCAAGACTCCACCTCAAAAAAAAAAAAAAGAAGAAGCCAAAATAATCTGCAAATTATTAGAATTGATTAGAAAATATTTAGCAACATGGCTAGGTATAAAATCAACATGCAAAACTCAATTGCATTTCTCTAACCAACAATGAAAAGTTAAATTATATAATTTTTGAAATGAAACTGATGCACCTAGTAATAAGCAACAAAATATGTGCACAACCTGGTCGGGCTCAGTGGCTCACGCCTGTAATCCCAGCACTTTGGGAGGCCGAGGCGGGCAGATCACGAGGTCAGGAGTTTGAGACCAGCCTGACCAATATGGTGAAACCCCGTCTCTACTAAAAATACAAAAATTAGCCGGGTGTGGTGGTGTACACCTGTAATCCCAGCTACTTAGGATGCCAAGGCAGGAGAATCGCTTGAACCTGAGAGGCAGAGGTTGCAGTGAGCCGAGATTGTGCCACTGCACTCCAGCCTGGGTGACAGAGAGAGACTCCATCTCAAAAAAATAAAAAGACTGAGAGAGATGAGAGATGTGCACAACCCAAAATTATAAAATTGTATTTGGAAACATATATTAAAGATAGCCTGTGGCTCACGGCTGTAATCCCAGCACTTTGGGAGGCCGAGGCTGATGGATCACTTGAGGTCAGGAGTTCGAGACCAACCTGACCAACATGGCAAAACTCTATCTCTACTAAAAGTACAAAAATTAGCCGGGTGTGCTGGCACCCGCCTGTAATCACCCGAGAGGCTGAGGCAGGAGAATCACTTGAACCCAGGAGACAGAGGTTGCAGTGAGCAGGGATTGTGTCACTGCACTCCAGCCTGGGCAAAGAAATGAGATTCTGTCAGAAAAAAAAAAAAAAAAAGCTTAAATGAATGACAGATAAAACACATTCATGAATAGTAAAATTTAAAGTCATAAAGAAGTTAGTTGCCCTTATTAATAATATGTATTTGAGATAACTCCAATCAATATTCTATCAGGATATTCTAGGAACTTGACAACAAATTACTAATTTTGTAGAAAAAAAGCAAAAGGCAAAAATTAGCCAAGAAACTTCAGAAAAAAAGAAGACAGTCGACATGGTGAAACCCCGTCTCTACTAAAAATACAAAAATTAGCTGGGCATGGTGGCGGGTGCCTGTAGTCCCACCTATTTGGGAGGCTGAGACAGAAGAATCACTTGAACCCAGGAGGCGGAGCTTGCAGTGAGCCAAGATTGCACCAGTGCACTCCAGCCTGGGCAACACAGTAAGACTCCATCTCAAAAAAAAAAAAAAAAAAGACAGTTGAGGGTGTGGGGGTGTGTGTGTGTGCTTATTTTAAAGTTTATTAAGTAAAGCAATGTGGTATTGATGTAGGGATAGAAAGAGTCTAGATCTAAAAACAAACTAACACATACACCTACAAAAGCTTCATTTTTCAAAATTATTATTATTGTTTTAGAAACAGGTTCTTACTCTGTGACCCAGGCCAGAATGTAGTGGTGTGATCATAGCTGTAACCTGTAACTCCTGGGCTCAAGCAATCCTCCTGCCTCAGCCTCCTGAGTAGCTAGGATTGCAGGCACCCATCACCACACCTGGATAATTTTTTATCTTTATTTTTGTAGATACAGGGTCTTGCCATGTTACCTATGTTGGTCTTGAACTCCTGGCCTAAAGTGATCCCCATACCTTGGCCTCCCCAAGTGCTGGAATTACAGATGCAAGCCACCACACCAGGCCAAAAACTCAATATATGACAAAATTTGTATTATTGATCAGTGAGAGAAAGATACACCATTCAAAAAATGGTGCTGGAACAATTAGGTATTCAAATGAAAAAGCAAGCAAGAAAGGAAAGAATAAAAGAAGGGAAAAAGGGAGGGAAGAAGATAGAGAGAGAGGAACAAATTGAGTGCTTCCATTTCTGGTGCTACCGTGGACTAAATATCACGGAAACTTCTCCTGATATAGTGCAACTAAAAATACTAGATATAATATTTAACAACCACACACACTCTTTCACCATACGGATCCCCAGTCCACCCCCTCAACTTTCTGGGTCAGCCTGTGATCCCACCAGCTACAGGTTTTTCCCAGCAAGATTTAACCCAAACTGGGGCCTTGAACATTTCCAGGCACTGTTAAAGGTATCTAGGTTGCCCAAAATATTGAAAGAAACTGGCCCCAGCCCTGTGCCAAATTTCTTAAACCCCCATTTGAACTCCATACCCTGACCCCTCCTTGTGGACTTACCTAGGTAAGACACCACGTTTTTCTCTCTGTCCATCTTGAAAATATGCTGCAGCACTCTATATGTGAGTTCTTCAAATAAATGCTTTGAACCAATACCCCAAGCATTTACTGCTTCCTTCTTTGGAATCCCAACCAGCCCCATCTCAAGATGGTTTGGGGGCCTCCCTTGTGGGAACTCCCTTGCTTTGGGGTCAACTTGGGGTGACTCCAGCTGCAGGTTGGGAGAACAAAACATACATACACACACACAACTATATATATTGCCTGACTGGACTGATAGGAAAGTAAGAAAATTCTTCAGAGTATAGAGATGATAGGAAAATATGAATCCCAAAACACAGGTGATCACTGGAGCCAGTGTTTGCTAAGTAGTCAACCTCTGGTGGTCTGGAACCTGGGTTTAAAAGTCCATAAGAAGTAACAGAATGCCAGGCATGGTGGCTCACACCTGTAATCCTAACACTTTGGGGAGCCAAGGTGGGAGGATCACTTAAGCCCAGAGTTTGAGACCATCCCGTGAAACACTATCTCAAAGAAGAAAAAAAAAGGTCGGAGGTGGGCAGGGGATAGGGACAGAAAATGAAATCATGGAGGGTTGGAATGGAGAACTATACTCCGCCACACACATAGGCCAGGAAAAAGAGTAACATCCTCCAGAGAGTGAAAAACAACAAAAAGGAGTCCCTTCCA